CAGTTTGTGTTTTGTTTATTGCTATCATTTCCATTTTCAGGTCTTGAACAGTTTTTTTGTTTCTGTCAACGATTTGTTTTGTCTTGGTTTGTTTGAAATTCTTTAAGAGATTGATTTCTTCCAATTTTTTGTTTGTCTTTTGCTAAATTTCTTTAAGACATTTTTTCATTTCCTCTTTAAGCACCTCTGTCATCTTCATAATTTTTTTTCGTGAGACAGGATTTCTCTGTGTCTTTGGAGGCTGTCTCAGAACTAGCTCTTGTAGACCAGGCTGGTCTCGGACTAACAGAGATCCGCCTGCCTCTGCCTCCCGAGTGCTGGGATTAAAGGTGTGTGCCACCACTGCCTGGTCATAAAATTATTTTTAAGAATGAGGTGAGTGTGTGTGTGTGTGTGTGTGTGTGTGGGCGCGCGCGCGAGCGTTTCAGCTGTGTTGGAAAGTTCAGGTCTTGCTGTTGTAAGATAGCTGGGTTCTGGTGGTGCCATACTGCCCTTTCTATTATTGGTTGTGTTCTTACGACCGCATTTAGGCGTCTGGATTTGGTGAAGGCTGCACCAGAGCAGTGGGGTTCTTCCAGAGCTGGAGGCAGGGCCCAGCAGTGGTACTGGTGCTGAGATGCAACAGGACAGGAGGGTTACTCACCAGCTGTGGTTCATGTGGTCTGTGCCTCAGTGGGGCAGGGATGGGCTGGGATGACATGAGCTGGGGAAGGGCTCAGGGGACAGACTGCAGGTAACGGTGTAGTTCTGTTGGCAGGCAGGTCACTCATCCATTCTAGCTCAAGGCATTTTTTCTTAATTAGTAATTGATGGGGGAGGTCTCAACCCGTGGTGGGTGGGGCCATCGCTGGGACGGTAGTCCTGGGTTCTATAAGAAAGAAGGCTGGTCAGGCTATAAGGAAAATGCCAGTGAGCAGCACCCTCCATGGCCTCTGCATCAGCTCCGCCTCCAGGTTCCTGCTGTTTGAGGTCCTGTCCTGATTTTCTTCAATGATGGACTATGATATGGAAGTGTAAGTCAGGTAAACCCTTTCCTCCTCAGTTTGTTTTTGATCATAGTGTTTCATCAGCAATAGAAACCCTAAGACAAGTATTTGTCATTGGAGGATGGTAGAGACACATTTGGTTTCAATTCTCCAGTTTGGCATGCTTATACTTTCTATAACTTTATACTGGTCTAATCATGTTTGCTAACAGTTAAAAGAAACAGTACTGTGGGGAGTATCGCACTGTAGGAAAATGACTGAACATAGAAAGGTACATTGTGTGTGTGTGTGTGTGTGTGTGTGTGTGTGTGTGTGTGTGTGTGGTGTACTTTTTTGTTGTTTTTTGAGACAGGGTTTCTCTGTATTGTTTTAGAGGCTTTCCTGGGACTCGCTCTGTAGACCAGGCTGGCCTCGAACTCACAGAGATCTGCCTGCCTCTGCCTCCCTAGTGCTGGGATTAAAGGCGTGTGCCACCGACACCCAGCGTGTACTTTTTAATGTATTTTTTCTTTTACAAATCTTTCGATTGTCATACACAGCCCCAGGTTTCTTTATAACATTTTCATACATACTTAGGTTTGGCTGATCCCCATCCCGGGCATCTTCCTGATTGCCTCAAAGATACACAGTCTCTCTCTTCTCTTTCTCAGTTGTAATCAAACTGTAGCCTTATGAAGGCTGCATTTTTACATCTTTTCAATCTTAGGAAACGCCAGATTGTGTCTTTTGAATAATCAGGGGTCATCCAAGCTTCCCCCGGGAGAGAGAGCTGTTCTTGCAGGCAACCTTAGAGCCCTGCCTGTTCCTTCCTTTGCCCAAGTCAGACTGACTTCCTTGGACGGTACCAAGGGTAACAACTGCTGCTCTTCTGCCCTTGGGCCTTCGCACTGGCTGCACGGTCTTCCATCGGTGCTTCTCCCAGATGTCTGCGGAATAGTTACCGTTCTGCCTTCAGGCCTCTTCGGTAAACAACCTCCTCGTCAAAGCTACTCTTAGAAGCCCCAGTACCGCAACGGTTTGTGTTCCCCCACTCTTACTAGCAAGTACTGTTGTTGAACAGTCTATATATTTTATTTTTACATTTCCTTATCACGACAGTATAAGCCCCATTAGTCAGAAATGTTGTCTTTATTGTCATTCCTATTGCTCTAGAACATTCAAGAGAAATGTCTGGCACTGATGCTAGAATTAACTGGTGAATGGATGAACAATGAAATGAAAACTCTACATTTGGCCTATGAAGTCACAAAGGGTAGAGATCTTATAAATAACCCTCCAAATTCTACTACCAAGCTAAACAGAGAATACTCAGAGTCAAGGCACTTGCTGTTCATCCAATAGTATGCATGGCTGCTTCTATTGCTTCAGAGGCATATAGATTTCGTTTTCAGGAAGTCAGAGTCTATACAGTCATGCCGGGAATGTTACATTATTTTGTTGGGTGTGCTCAAGAGAATGGGCAGCTTAGTTGTAGAGTGACATTATGGCTTGTTAGTAGGGAGTCAATAATGGCTTCTTGGAAACTTATCCAGAAGGCTGTAGATACCAGTAAAGCATTGATTCCTTTCGTGTGCATTCATTGAACATCTGTTATGTGATGGGATCTGGTCCACGGAGTGATCGGGGGAAACCGCTGCTTGCCTGAGGTGGTGCACAGACTGGCAGGGATGCAAGAGACTAAACAAGAGTGAAGTGCCTAGAGTTTGGATTTGAAGTATCCTCCAAAGGCTTGTTAAAGGCCTAGTCTCTGGCTCCGCGGTCTGTGAAGATGGCAGGCTCTTTAAAAAGCTCAATGGGAAGTTGCACACCATGGGGAGTACCCTCACAGAAGACAGTGGGACCCCAGCTCCTTTTTCTTCCTCTCTTTACCTTCCAGCCATGATTGGTTTCACATGTTTCTATCATGCCATGACACTACAGCCCAAAGTCAACCGCTGATGGACCAAAGTTTCTAAAACTGAGAACGCAAGCCAACCCTTCCTTCTCATCGGCCGATTGTCTTGGGCACTTGTTATAGTAACAGAAGGCTGACTGACAGAAGCAATGGGGCATTATGGAAGTGTGAAGGAAGGTCAGCTAGACTTGGAAACGGGGGGGGGGGGTTGTGAAGGCCATCTGGTTCAAATAATACTCGGAAGGAGTTAAAGTAATATGTCACATGGTTAGGGCTGATGTGGTCATGAGCATGAGGGCTGAGAGAGGTTGTCCCAGGAAAGTCCCAGGATGGAACAGAATACCCTGAGACTAGCTAGAAGGCTTAGTATGGTTTGATTGCAGACTTTAAACTGTGTTCCAAATGCCATCGCTTCTCCTCACCTCAGGTAGAGACGGTGAGCTGGTTATGCAGGTGTGCCGGTATCACTCTTCAGTAAGCTTCTGCCACACCTGCGTAATCAGCTCACCGTCTCTACCTCTAGCTCACCAACACGGCGAGAGGAAAACTGGAAAACAGAGTCTTGAGAGTGAGGAACGGGCATGTCACTGCCCGTGGGTTGTTGTTTTTCCACGTTCTGGCTTAGCCCTCAGGACCTTTGGTGTCCTTCTGTGTAACATAAACACATCACAGAACAGCACCATTCTGTGACCACAAGAGATCGGACAGATACCAGCTTGTGTAAGTCACGTCTGAACACAGGCAACAGCATAAACATTGTCCAAGTCATAGGCATCTCTAAGAGCCCTCAGCCTCTCCCACTGAGTTACGTCAGCGTCTTTTCCAGTCAGCTTTGGTCTTTATTCCTTTCGCCTTCGGATAAGATTTATTAATTACCATTGCTTCCCTGAGGCATCTGAGCGTGAACCCCATTTCTAAGTGTGAACCCCAGCTCTCAGCATGAGCCCCAGTTCTTTGAACTTCTTTAGAGTCACCGAAACTAAGGCCAAGTCTTAGGCTTCCAGCTCCTTCCTTTTGTGGGATGCCACAGTTCCCCCATGATTATGCTGATAGGCTTGTACTAAAGTAGCTTGTCAGCGCTCAAATTAACTCAAGATACTTTTCTATGTGACACCTTTCACTTTATGACTCAAAACTATTGCTAGGCTAGTCTTGAACTTGATATATAACCTGTGGATGACCTTGAACTTCTGATCACTCCACACCTGACTTTACAGAGGCTTCCTTTCATTCTCCTGGGTCATTTTGCTCTCTGACTCACTGACGTACTCACTCTCCACACCAACTATCCCTTTGGATCTGCGATAGGCCAGACACCCTTCTGCACACAGGTCCATACAGACTGCTGAGTGAAGAATGGGTTGAAGGAGAAGTGAGGGCAGGAGTTGGGCAGGCCAGGTGTGAGGCTCTTTCTGTACACCCAAACAACAGGAATGGGGCTGGGGAGGGCAAAGAGAACAACACGGTGGCCATATTTCTGGTTCGAGCGAGTGTCCTGACATGGTGGGAAAGGAATGTGGTGAATATGTTGACAAAGAATGTCAGAAAAGTGGTTTTCCACCGGTCTGGAGAGCTTTGCTAATGAGGGGTGTTTCCCAAGTATCTTTGGAAGACGTCTCTTCTCCAACCCCAGAGACTGGGCAGTGACTGGGTCCTCCCTTTGACCTGTACACTTGGACCTGTTGCTGCCAGAAATGGAGGTGAATGACACAGCCGTTGCAGGTTCTGGTGCATGTGTTTAAGGAGACATATTTCAGTGGAGTCAGGAACTTCTTCCTTCTGGCCTTCTGGGCTTAAATAAAATGATGATTACAGTAGCTCGGGGTCCATGAAGTACGGCAAGAGCAGCTGCCATCTGCCACAGCTCTCGTTGGTAACTCATTTACTTCTTATAATAGGCTTGCACATATATGAATTGGGTTAGAATGTGCCGCTTGTGTTCGGAGGATCCAATAAATGACTTGCTTTTGTGTTACAACTCTCAGAAGTAAATTATTCAGCATTCATTGCTTGTAGGGCTTAAAGAGAAACTAAATTTATTTTTATTCCTCCACCCTTCTCTCTAGGACATGCTTTAATGTTCCCATCACAGAGACTTTGCCGAATTGACTAATTGTGTGTTTTGCATATTTATAAACACTTTGTTATTTATTAATGGATCATCTCGGAGATAAAATTAGCACTGTCTTCACATCACAGCCATTTCTCAAAGGCGCTCTGACTCGCAGCAGCGGGCTTGAGATGTGAGTGCACATAATGAAAGTCCCGGCGATTGTTTTCTCAAGAAAATCCCAGCAAGGGGCAAGAGCTGCCCGCATGCAATTTATCAGGCTGGCTCTTCAAAGCTGTGCTGTCCAATATGGCTCTGTAAAATTTAAATTAATTAAAGTTAAATAAAACAACAAAAAAAAAATCCAGATCCTCCGTCATACCCGTCATGTGTCAAGGGCTCAGCAGCCACGTGCAGCCAGTGGCTTCGATCTTGGAGAGGGCGGGGTGTGTCTGTCTGTCATAGAATTTCCATTGTACAGTGCTGCTCTGCATGTTGTGGGAACTGGTCCTTCTGCGGCTCCCTGGATAGATGGACCAGGGGTGGGGGTTTCGTTGTGCTAGAAAGGCACAGGGTTACTGCATGCTGGGTCATATTTCGAATTCTGACTGCGTCTAGAATTTGGTTGCTTCCTACTTACTAACTGTTCCTTGGTCCCATTACTATCCCTTCTCACCTGGGTTTAATGCCACAACTTTCTAACTGGTCAGCATCCCTGGGTCTCTAAGTCCTTCTCCACAGGGCAGCCAGTATGATTCTGCTTGGAACCATTTGTGGCTTTGTGGTCTCACTCACAATAAGGGGTGGAATCCTTCTGGTGGCCTCCAAGGTACTCTCTCTGACTCACAATGATCTCCAGCTTTCTCTCTCTCTCTCTCTCTCTCTCTCTCTCTCTCTCTCTCTCTCTCTCTCTCTCTCTCTCCCTCCCTCCCTCCCTCCCTCCCTCCCTCCCTCCCTCCCTCCCTCCCTCCCTCTCTCTCTCTCTCTCTCTCTCTCTCTCTCTCTCTCTCTCTCTCTCTCTCTCTCTCTCTTGCCCTGCTTTCTGCTCTCCAGCCACACTGGCTTCCAGTCTTTCCCCCTGGCACAGGCTGTACCCTTTGCCCACAAATCCTTCTCTGCCAGGCACCTCTGCTTGTCTTATTTCTCTACGCACTCCGTATTAGGAGGAAGTGGTCCCTTGGCGCCCTGTTTATACATGTAGCCCCCTCCCCTGGCGACTTTGCTCTTCAATTCTCTTCCCGGCTGCCTGACAGTTCTCATTATCACAGGGCCGTGGCTTACTTATTGTTTTGTTTCTTATTCCTTCACTAGAGTGTAGGCTCCACTGGGCAGGTGTTTTGTCTGTTTTCCTTGCCACCCTCCCTCAGTTCTTAATACGGTGCATAGAGATATTCATTAAATATTTATTAAGCAAATGAATGAATCCTACAATTCAAGAGGCCTGAGGGAGGAGAGAGGGAATGAGGTGAGTGGAAAGGCATGCTACCTCATTCTAGATGTGAAATTTTAGGTATGTCACTTACATTCTTGGAGCTGATTTTCTCCCCTGGAAGATGGAAGTGGTAATTCCTGAAGGGGTTGTCACTGGGATTAATTAGGGCATCCATGGTAGAGTAGTCTCAGACAGTGGTAATTCAGGGCCTGCAAAATTGGACCTAGGCACTTCTTTATTTGTGTCTATGTGAAAAAAACAAGCTAGTGTTGCTCTCACAGTGTATTTTCAAACAGCATGCTCTTTTCTTTTAAAAAAAATTGGACCATCTCAGTGATGAGCCTATAGATAAAGTTTGACTGTGAAATGGTGTTTGAATGCAAAGGACTCTTGTTAATGTTGGTGTTCTTTAGGAAATTAAAATCTCGTGTGTGTGTATGTGTGTGTACGTGTGTGTGTGTGTGTGTGTGTGTGTGTGTGTTTGTGTGTGTACCCACAGGTACTACAGCATGATTTTGGCAGTCAAGAACTTTGGGGAATGAGTTCTTTCCTTTTATCACATGGGTCCTGGGGATTGAACTCAGGTCATTAGGCTTGATGGCAAGTGCCTTCATCCACTGGGCTATCTCTCTCACCCCCACCAGATTTTTTTCCATGTTGATGTTCTATAAATGGAAATTTTATTAAAAGTTCCAACAGAGAAAGGTGGTGGTAGAATGGAGGCATGTGTATAATGTGGTTCTGTGTGATGAGATGCTGTGAGCCTGTCAAGCTCAAAGACACCAGTCCGAAGTGGCTTGAGCGCTATGACGTTTCGAGAGGGAATTGGATATCAACACAGAATGTAGTCTGTTTTCTAGGGTTAATGCTATCTTGAGTATTATCATTCTTTAAGAGAGTCCTATGCCTGCAGAGCTTATACCTAGATTTGCATTTCTATATATTGGAGAATGCAACAGAATTTCATCAGGAAAACAAGGTGAACTACCACTCCTCGATACAAAGGCTAAGTGGATGCATGGGAGCTGGGGCTGCAGAGGCTGCAGATAGGAGGACTATGGGGAGTGGGCTGCAGTGGGGAGTCTCCCAACAGCAGACTAGAAGGACAAGGAAGGCCAGTGCAGGCGTCCCTAGGCAGAGACTGAGATGACCAAGGGCCTGTCTGGGACAGCAAGTTTCGTTCAAGTCATGCTGCTATTTCCAGAGAAACCACTAAAGCACCTTGACTTAGTCAGGGTTTCTATTGCTGTGAAGAGACACCATGACCATGGCAACTTTTTTTTTTTTTGAAGTCTTTCCCTTTTTTATTAAGCCTTACTTGATAACTAGAAGCTGTGGCTTCGGGCCAGCAGACCACAGAGCCACAGGCCACAGAACCACTCAACACAACTCCTTGTTGGGATCATAGTGAATGCCAGTGTCACTCAGGTGACACTTCCTGCTCATGGCTGTCCCCAAGTCTGTCTGGCTTCTGGCTGGTGAGGGCTATCCCACCTCCACCTGGAGGCTGGGAAGCAGAAGGCGTGGAGGGAGCGCGTCACAGAGAAGTCCATGGCAACTTTTATAAAGTAAAAACATTTAATTGGGGTAGCTTACACTTTCAGAGGTTTAGTCCATTTATTATCATGATGCAACTTGGTGGCATGCAGGCAGACATGGGGCTGGAGAAGTAGCTAGTGTCCTACATCTTGACTTATAGGCAACAGGAAGCGACCTGAGTGTTACACTGAGAAAAGTGAAGCAGACCCCAAATCCAACTCCCACAGTGACACCCTTCCTCCCACAAAGCCACACCTACTGTAACAAGGCCACACCTCCTGATAACACCACTCCCTTTGGTTCCTTTCCAATCACCACACACCCCAAATATCACCAAAGCATGCTGAGCCTGGAGGAGAACTCCCTTCCTCAATAGCACTCCATTGACTGAGTCCAGTGGGGACCACCTGACATGAGAGATGGGGAACATGGCAGACAGACAGCGTGGCCTGTGAGGGTAAGGCCCTCCCACTGCATACGTTGTATGCATGCATGCATACATGCACATACTCCTACCCACACACAAGCAATATAGAGTACAACAGGCTGAAGAATGCTTCTAAAGGCAAACTCAGAAAGGAACAGCACAGGCTAACTCTGTAGACATGGGTCCTGTTTCCTGGCTAACTCTGTAGACATGGGTCCTGTTTCCTGGCTAACTCTGTAGACATGGGTCCTGTTTCCTGGCTAACTCTGTAGACATGGGTCCTGTTTCCTGGCTAACTCTGTAGACATGGGTCCTGTTTCCTAGCATCCGTTCTCTTCCCGTCTATCTCTGTGTAACAAATTAAGTGGGTTGAATCCACCTCTAGTTGCATAGGAGGGCTCTGCTTAATATAGATGTCCAAACCAAACAGGGCATAGATCCTCTCCCCTTGATAGTGATAGGCAATGTAAGCAATGGCCTAAGACAAAGCTTCCTTCCCCAGGCGTTAGTGACAGATGCAGAGCTGGTCAGCACAGTGTTGCTCCCCAGATAGGAAAGCAACAGTAGAAAGCATACAAACCATACATGTTCCACTGGGCTGTTGAGCTAGGGTCAGGACAAGACACAGAAACCAGAGCCTGGCAGTCATCACATCAGGGTTCCAAATGTCCCCTTTCTTGTTTGAGGTTGTTGGAATTTGACTTTTATTTATAACCAACCCAATAATAAAAACAAATTTAACCAACACCAGAGTAGGGGCAACAACAGAAAGACAGCTGGGTATTTAAGGGGTACCCACATCATTTGTGTGCAGGACGCAGTAGCTACTCCTTCGTCACTGTGCGTCTTTAGATTCCTTCAGAAGATGGCCATAGATGTTGTGCTGGCCATGGAGGCTGGGAAGAGACTGTATGCTTTAGCAGTTGCTCTCAGGTACACCCCATGTTTTGGACCACAAGGAGAAGCAGAAGTGTACTCAGTTCTGTCCAGGGAGCTGTAGGTATCTCTACAAAATGCACAATCACCGGGAGCTCTGCTTTTAACAACGTGGACTGAAGCTGGAACCAAAAGTGGACTGAAGTGGAAAGGGGCCACTGCCACCACATGGCTGGCCATTCTCTCTGTACTTGGAAAAATCGATTGCTCCAAACTTTAAACAGCTTACGGAAGTGGTCTCTCTTAATAGGAGACAAGACTGAGATGTTATATCGATTGGCTCAAATGTCCGCCTTGAAATCCCCAAAGAGAAAAGCCTGGTGAATTACTCCCTCCTCCCAAAGGAGGCAACAGGCCCTATGACTCTGGTGGAAGCTCCTAGGCTCAGCACGAGGCAGAGGGAGACTATAGTGGGTTTACACATCTCTGAAGCTTCTTGTCTTGACCTGGTTTTGGTGGCAGGCTTCTGCCTGCTCTGGAGAGTCCAAGTGGAGTCCTTTGGATTTCAGCAAGAGATCTTCAAACAGGAGGCAGGATGAGCCTTAGTCCCCGATTCCTTCTGGAGCTAACTTGTGGCCAGGGGCTAGCTTGGGGCAGGAGGGGGTAGGTGCTTCTCTGCTCCTAAGAACACAAGGTTCTTATTAGTGTTCACTGTGACAGATGAGTCCAGCTCAAGGCTGAGTGTGTGGCTCAGGGTGTAGGGTGCAGTTAGAACTTCAGCATCCACAGATGCCCTTGGAATAGCCGTGTGCAAGCAGTGTGGCCATATGCGGATGCCTTCTTTGTGTGCCTTGTAATCATCTACAGCTTGCAGAGATGAGATTACTGCCCATCTCTATAACAATGAAGGTCTCAGAAGTGTCTTAGCAACACTTTGGACTAAAAACCGTAAGCTTCACTCCTGGAGATTCTATTTGTTCTTGATGTGGCTGGAAACAATTACTGAGCCTTGGGTCCTCAGTGTCCCCACCCGTCAAATTGGGAAGAAGGGCACCTAGTCTTCCTTTTCATGGATGTATTTTAGGTCAAATGCAGAGACTCTGTCAGCCTGATTTTGAATGAACTTCACCTACTGAAGTTCTAGGAACCAAAGGAGATGCTAAGAACCTGTTTGAGCAAGGCATGAAGGTCATGGTGTGGGGAGATGGCTAAGTTGTCACGGTGTGTAGGGAGTGGTTGCAGGAAGAGATGCCTGGGCAGTGCGGTGACATTGTGGCTGGCCTGTGTGCGTCCTTCAGAGCATCCTGGTAGCACTATGGGCAGGAGGTGGAGGTGGGTGACTACTGAGACAGGTGGAGTCTGCAGTTATCATCACTTGGGCGTTGGGATGAATGGCTCTAAGTGACCTGGCATGAGTGATTGCAGCCTTGGAGATCTGGGTCAGGAGCTCAGCTGTAGCAGTGCAGGTTCATTCAGAGATGGGAAGTCA